CGTGCCCTAGAAGTGAAGGGTGACAGCATTGACTGTTCTTGCCTGCAGCTGTCCAGTCCTTTCCTGAATCTTGCTGAAATCAGGTTGCTTTTCTCTGATCAGGAAATGTGTTGTAAAAGTCTTTTTCCTTCTTTGTGTAACACCTTTGTGATTTTCTGTTGTACAAGCTGCATCTTCCCCAGTCAGTGCCATTTACCAGGCTCTACATGTTCAGGTCCCTTTCTGTGTCTGTTTTCTCCTAAGAAAGTCCCAATCTTTCTGTTGTTGGTTTTTTTTTTTAAAAAAAAAAAAAAAGCAAGTTCTTTTCTGAGTTTAGACAGCCAGACCCATTCATGATATTGCACGTAGATCTGCATAATTTGGGGATATAGCATAGCATTACAAGTCCTTTTAGATGTAAATACTGTTATTTCCTGGATCCATTCTTATGGCCAAGGTTCTAAGCCCTGATCTGCGACTCTTCAGCAGATGAAATAGGGTAGAATATACTCCAAGCAATTTTCTTCAAGGATCTCCAGGACTGAGAGGGTAATTGACAGGGACTGGAGGACACTTGGATCAGAACGTGTGTTTCCTGCCAGGCATGGTCTATATTTGCATTGCAGTGATAAAAATTCCACACTGCATCCCCAGCTGCAGCTCCTGATGGGTGTCTGCAAGCCTGTCTCAGGATGAAAACAAAGACTTGGTCTAAGAGCAGGGTCTGTGCTGGGATGAGGCGGGAAGAGGACTTTGTCAATCTGTCTTGGCAGGGCAGCATCCCTGTCAGTGTCTGCACGCAGGTCAAACGGCACTGGATTTGGTACCCTCAGAGTGAAAGGATCTGTGTTCCTCTTGGGAAGAAGCAGTTTCCCTGCTCTGCCCCAGGGGCAAGCTCTGATCTGTACTCTGTGGTCGCTGGATGGAGGTGTTTACTGCAGTTCATTCTTCGGGGCTAGATGTCTCCTCCCATCGCCTCCAAGTGCTTCGTGTTTCCTGGGCCCTGCCGCCACCAGCCACTACCTGGCCAGAGAGAAAAGCAAGAAGAAACGTGCCAGCTGCATCTGAACTAACTCTTGCCACTCTCCCCTTTTTTCTGTCCCCTGCAGGTATCCTGGACACATTGGAAGGACCCAACGTGCCGCCCTTTCAGAGAGTTGCCAGAGACATTCCAGTTGTTTCCAGTGCTATATTGAACACAACAGCCAAAGCCGTTGCATTGACCCTGTAGTTTCACAGACTTGGGACTTGCTTCCTTCACTACTTTTGGGGCTGCATAGAGCCGTAATAACCTGCTGCCTCTTAGGAACAGGACAGAACAGCAGGAAGAAGACTTGGTGGTGTTTTCCTGGACCTGTCCTTTGGGTTGCAGTTTTGGGCAGCAGAGTGGGCCTGCATGGTTAGCTGGGATTTCCCAGCGCAGTTTGTCCCTTACCCCTCTTTCTGCTTGCTGATGTAACCCCAGGGCTATCTGCCCTGTTTCCTGTCCTGAAGAGGGAAGAATTAAATTGATGTTGGTGCTGAGCAATGTCTTCTGTTTGAGCCTACTTGTGTAATGGGAGAGTGTTGTTGGGTCTCTATGCCTTTGTCTGTCCTGTCCTAGACTCACAGCAAGAGTCTTTGCAGTTTTCTGCTGTCCTACTTCAAATATTCTGTGATACGTGGCCTGTCTTGGGCACCTCTTCTGTAGCCCAAAAGGCACGGGAACTTCAGTTTCTCTGGAGGTTTTCAGGAACAGCATGATGTTTGACCATGTTCTCTTACTTGTCATCTTCCAGATTGATCCCTCTCTTTTCACTTGGTCTAAGCTGCCATCTCACCTCACTGCCCCTTCTCCTGTGTACATCAGAAACGTACCTGTCCCTGTGCTTCCACAGCACCTTTTGTTCCTACCACCCTTCTTGCCCAGGCTGCTCTGTGGGTCAGCAGTTCTGACTGCAGGGGCAGCATGATGTTTGTTCATGGCCTTCTGTGGGTATTTCTGTTGGAGAGGTTGGCTCACCCTAGCCCATTCTGCAGCTTGCTTTCACGTGGCCCAGCCGTGGGACTTCCGCCTCATTGCTCTGAGCAGGAGTGGCATCCTGCTCCCCCAGATGCACAGTCTGCTGTGTACTGTCTGGCTTCTCAACCCGAGTCTCGACCTGACTTCTGAAAGGACTCCTGGAGCCTGGAGAGTCCCTGACAAACTTTTCTCCGATGTTTCCATTAAACAAGAGGAGAAGTGGGAGACTGTAAAATGGTAGTAGAGTCGGCACATTTATCTCCGGCACACTGATGCAGGAAAGCTCCAGTAAGGATGGGGAAGCAGAGCAGCCCAGCCTAGGCATACAATTGCGTAGTTCAGATGTAGCCTTCCCTCACTGCTCCAACTTGTGCTGGTCCAAAGGCAGAAAGCTGTTAGCTGCCAACTGGCTTTCACCTTCTCCCTCCCTGTAGCTCTGGATGACTGGGGGGGAGGAGCCACCCCTCAGAGAAGTTCACCCTTACTCTCAGGCTGGCAAAAACCCAAAGACATTTCCCTTTCTTGGTGTACCCACAAGTTAGCTGTGCAGGTGACATGTCAGAACTGCACTCTTTGGCCTCTTGCTGATGTTAGTGGGAGAGGATGCAGCTGCAGTGGCATTCGGACTGGTGCCAAGGTGCAATGAAAGAGAGGAAGATGGCACCAGCTCCTGTCGTCAGGCTGGTCATCTGCTTCAGTTAAAACAAAAGCATCACTAGATGGGACTTCAGCATTTTCAGTTACAAACCTACTTTCCACTGTTTGCTTATTCCTGAGTTCATAATTTGTTCCCCTTCCGAGAGCAAGAAGCTTGTCTGCTAACAAACACGTGCATAACAGACATGTTCTCTCGCTCTCTTCTGCCTGCCCCTCACCCTGGGAAACTTGTTTTGGCTGAAGAACACCACTCAGAGCAAGTTGTTTGGGGGAATCGAATTAATTATCTGGGCTAATCATCTCCACATTTGTTAGGACCAGTCGAACCACTTCAAGCCCCTAGCATTTCCATTACTTTCAAACTTGACAAAATAGAAGTGTTAGTTTGTAGTCCTGCATGACTCCAGTATTTCCCTCGCTATCACTCCACAGGAGGTTGGTTTCTAATTTGCACTTCTTGACCTGGCAGCCTAGAAAGAGTCTGTTGGTGCAGACTGGTGTCTGGTGTCTCCAGGCACAGGGAAAGGAAAGGAGAAGGAGACCATCGTCACTAGAATAAGTCCAGCCAAGAAGAAAAACCATTCTGTGCCAGACACTATCACTGCTGATCTACAGACGCTGCCAGAGAAGAGCTGTGCTCCCCTCCCACACCTAGCCACTGAGCTAAATCAGAGGCATGAAGCTGTGCCCTGTGTTTTCACTCAAAGCACAGGAGAGAGCAGTGAGCAAACTCTTTGTGCTTCCCCTGCACAGCTTGTGTGTCACGTCAGCTGGGGACAGATGACCAGGGTGACAACCACCCACCCTCTCGGAAACTGTGGGGCTTGCTCTGCTCCAGTTCTTCAGCCCTGATTAATTCTCTGTGCAGCAGCAGCTGGAAGCTGACTTGTTCTGTACTGCCAGAAATTCAGTACTTGGCTGAGAGCTCAGCATCTCCTTTTGCTGACAGAGAAGGATGCACTTTTGCAGGGAAATGCATGCGTGCTGCGGTTCCAGGGAGCATGCTGAGCACGCAGCCTTAGTAAAGTCCTTGTGGGAGGGCATCTCTCAGTGCTTACTCAAGTCCTCCAGTTATCAGGACAAGCCTTACAGCCCTATCATGCCAGACTATCTCTGCCTTTATTTCCTGCCATGGCTCTTGCAGCAAATCTAAAATAATTTTCTCCCTCCTCCCTTGCAGCAAATCTGAAATAATTCCCTCCCATCACCTTTTCCTTTTGAGAAAGGGTAGCTCTGCGAGAGCTGCGTAAGCCCCCTTTTGTCAAAGCTTAAATGAACGTATAAAGCTGTCAGATTAGAAAGAGGAAGACGAAATGTATATTAAAGCATCTATGACCTCCTCCTCTCCTCTGCAGTGCCTGGGAGTCCAGCCCTTCTTCCAGCCCTCATCCTTGTTGCATGAATAGTCATCTTAGTCGTGTTTTGGGTTACAGGTAGGCTGTTTCTTCTCCCATTTGTTTTCCTGCCTGCATCTAGTCTCACTCTAGCTGCTCCTCATCCAGTTTTTCTGTTTATACGTTAGCTCCTAATGGCATCAGTCTAGAGAATCAACTCTCATTCCCTGTGCCCCCAGTAGGTAAACAACAAACTACCTTCCTCATACCTGCTGGGTAACTGCACATGACAAGGAAGCAATATCTAGTTCTTCACAAAACACCACTGCGAAACTCCCCCCTGCGTAGCCTTTAATTCGGTTTAGTGAGCCATGGCTTTGAACCATCAGCTCCTGTGCCGCTTTTCCCGATGTATTTGAGCATAAAGCCAGGTAGGACTCTTGTCTCCTCAACGCGCGCTTGCTCCTGACAACAGGCAATGGAGATGCCAGCGCTAGGGCATCTTCATCAGTGCTTCGGGGCTGCTGCTATCAGCTGAAGTGGGACACGTCCCAGGGGCTCTCCTCCAAGCACCTCTCTAATAATAGCCTTTTTAATGAAGCATGGGTTAATTAGCGCCTGGAGGTAATTGCGAGGTGAGACTGAGTGCAGTCTTCAATCGACCGGTGCTGATCAGCAGCTGGTATTTTCTCGGTCACCCCGCTGCCCACCACTCAGACATCCAGCCTCTGCCCCTCGCAGCCCTGCAATACGTAGGACCCCGTTCTCACCTGGACCGTACAATGTGACCTGAGAGATCAGTCGCTCCTTTTTTGAAAGACATCACCTGTATGGCACAGTCGGATGCTCGCAGCTGTGGCTCTTGTCCCAGCGCAGATGTGTTACCAGTCAGGTGCTGTGTCAAACCCATGCACCCCTGTGCAAAGGGAACACAGAGGGAGGTGTGTAGATAGCTCTAGCGAACAGCAATGAATTACTCAAAGGCATGGTGATGCCCACACTGTAAATCATAGAATCATAGAAAGGTAAGGGTTGGAAAGGACCTTAAAGATCTTCTGGTTCCAACCCCCTGCC